TACTTATATATGTGTGTGCTCTTTGTTAATCTTATAATTTATATGCATTTAAGTTGTGAAAAGGTAAAAAATAAACAAATTAAAGGGGCATAAATGAAAAGTTATACTAGTAGTAGTGGAAGATTCGAACGAGAGATGTTACATATGCCTCGTCATTAACATGAGTTGAGTTGTGACCCACGTACGTTAGGGTAGGTCGATGAATTATGCATATGCATATGCATGTTCCAGCAAATTAAAGAACAACCTTGTAATAATAGTAGATATCTTGTGTGAGCTATAAAACAAGAAAACAAGAAAACAAGAAAACAAAAACAAAACAAAAATGGCTACCTGCTGAAGCCACTTTCAAAAATGAATTTGACTTAAACTAGCTAGGTAATTAAATTTTGGAGAAGCAATATTATTTCTTTGTTAGTACTGGCCGGGGTTTCCTACACTACACAGTATACATACATCTTCAACACTCCACAACTGAAAATTAATGTCCAACAACATAGGCTCGTTCATGCTACAGCTAATTAACTAATTAATTAACCATGTCATGTAAATACAATTGCCTTCAATTAAGTAGCCATTTTTGACATATTCCCATGTTTTTTTTTATAATTATTGATATATTTTTTGATTTAATACATTTCACAACATATTTATTAAGTTATTAATTTTTTAAATTTAAATCAAAGATAAAAAAATTAAAAATTACAAAATTTAATATTTAAATCAATTGATATTATGAGATATGTTGAATTAAAAAATATATTAATTATTTTTTTTTTACTGTAATACTAATTCAATAATAAATAATTTGAACATAAAAGTTGTTAGCTCTCGATTGACTTAATTTAAGTGTACAGGATTTCCAATTAGGTTTTGTTCCGAATCCAACTATTTCCACAGAAGATAAGGATGGATAGCAAATTTAAAGTTCCTTTTGGCAGCCGGTTTGACTTCGAAATTGTTTCCAGAAGATATTCGCATTATTGTAAAAGCCATGCAGGACTGCCTCCATAGCCAATAAATTAATTTATGATTCCTTTCAACGTTAACCCCAACCAAACCATGCGAAGTTCAACAAAAGTATCTTTATTCTTTGCGCAGTGATTTTACCACACCTGAGCAAAGTGGACGTACACGCAATTATTTTCCTCCTTTCCTTTTCATTTTAGCAAATTTTCTAGGTGGCATATGCAAGCGTTTAGACTTTTTAACCTACATGTGTGTGCATTTGTGTATATATATATTATAAATATGGTGGGGTGATTTATTTATATAAAATTTTAATAATTTAATAATTAAGATTTCTTCTTAGCAAATTTTCTAGGTGGCATATGCATGCGTTTAGACTTTTTAACCTGCATGTGTGTGCATTCGTGTA